TTCTTTTTCAAACAAAAATTGCTCCTTAATCTACTTATCTTTTTATTGGTCATTTGCAAAATTATTTGTTAAAAATACTTTGATGTATACAAAGCTATTTTAAAGTTGATATTAAAAAGATGCTCGAGTTTCTGATTGACATATCTATGCAGTTTTGGAGATCAGATCATCCAACAATCTTCTGGATTTCCCACGTGTTTCAACTGCACCCCCGTTATTAGCAAACCTGTTTTATCTAAAGCAGAATTTATATTATATATATGAGAAGAAGAAAACACTTGCTGTACCTTCAACTTGATATTTCACGACGAATTGTTAATAACAATAGTTACTTCTATTCCTATGTCAAATGTTTCCTAGTGAGCTTGAAATACCAAAGAGTCTATTGTATCTGTTTCATATCTGAATATTTTTGAAGAAAAAGACATAAACCTAAAACAAAGATTTATAGTAAACGTGATAACTTCAATCGTCATTCTTCTTTACTCATGCAGCAATATACCCTCATCACCTGCACATGCAGTTTATGTCTTTCAGTTGATTCGATACACAAGAGCACGCTCTACAATTACTAAAATTACTAAAATCTCTTGAAAATAAGTTCAACAAATGCAAGAGTTCACATGAACCAATTTATGTCAACATTTTGCATTTCTATAGTCATTACAATGACCTTATTAGAAAATGCAATCTTTTTAAAACGAATATTAAGTCGAACGTTTTTCATAAAAATTGTAAAGCATTTTCACACAGAATTTTCCACAGATTTTCCGGTATTCCCAATTAAAACAAATAGCATACGGCAAATATGATCATATCGAAAGGGATATTTACTCCTCAATGACACCTTATCCTAAATCCGATGACTTTAGAGGAACATGTGTCTATTCCCAATTTGTATTGTTCCAATGGACATTTTAGCTTAATAACGATTTGCTTTTTCCACATTTCCTTTAAAAAACTACTTTATAAACTTTATACACCTTAGACTTTTCAATCAAGCTTACCAGGTAGTAAAGTGAAGATTTGAATTGACTTTAAGAAAGTTTTATAGTATACATCATAAAAGTATCTTTTATTGATGACAAATTTGTTTTAAGATAGTGCCTTCATTAACAATAAAAGCTTACATATACGGCATATTCAAGGAGTGGGGAAAGTAAAACAAGGATTCTCAAAAACTCAACAAAAAAAACTTTTAGAAAATTTAAATTTAAACTTTTTTCAAAAGTCAGTAACTTTAAAATTTACTTCTCCATCGAATCATTCCTCGCGAAAAATAATTAAATATAGAAAAACATAATAAGTAAAAGACGTCAAGCAGACCAAAATTAAAATATTTTTCAACATTGTTTTACATAAGTGTTGTCATCTGCAAATTTAGCTATAAATTCCATAATAAATAAATATTTTATAGGCGATGGAAAAATTTGAGTGAAGTCTTAGTTTGTTTCATGATCCTGGATCCAGGTCTTCCAACAAACTGTTGATTTTGCGATTGGCACTAATTGTGTTCCTTTATAAGCTGGCTTGTTTTATATTTCTATTAAACAGAATTTATCTAAAAATTCTACTAAAGAAGAAACCACTTGCTGTGACCTTAACCGGTCCTTTAGATTTATCGACGTTGCATGTTTAATTAACAATCGTTACTTTCATTGATAATTATGCACATTGGATGGCACCTGATCCCATCTCTGATGTTTTGGATGCCTATGTTTGCTCTTCTCCTAGTTTGTATTGTTTTATGGACTTTTGGTCTTGCGTACTGTTAGTTTCATCCCAGTAACTTTAAATAAAAGGAATCACGAAGTCTGACAGACCAGTTTCATATTTGGATGCTTTACTGACTATGGATAATAAGGACTAACTAACAACTAAATTGTATGACAACGTGATTATTTCAACTTTTCGTTGTCAACTCTCACCATTTATGGAATAATATCCTGTCTCTCAACTTATCAGACTCAATGGCAAGCTCCAAAAGCGGACTGTTACCGACGGTTGATATTATAAGGATTTCAACAACGTCATTTTAAGTCAGCATTTTGTAAAATCTTTGGTCGTTATATGATAACCTTTTTAGCAAATATAACATACCATCATTGGGTCTTATTTTGGCTGACTTGTTTCATATCGATTGTGAGGCTTTTGTTTTAAAACTTAATTTTGACATAGGAATGATTCGTCTACCTAGGCAATATATAAGACCCGTCAATAGGGGATACGTACTCCTCCTAGGGACGTGGTCCCACATCTGGAAATTCCAGAGGACCGAGTTTATGCTTTCTTCACATATTTTATTTAAAGATTTTTTAGATCAATATCTGTTTGCTGTCTTCTCCTTTTTCATAGAACTAAGGTAATAAAAGCAGTTTTACACATAAAATAAAAGCACCTTCACAGAAGGCCATTTATCCATTGAAAGCATTGATAGCAGTGGTAATAATCATTAAAACTGAATTCATTTTTTTTCTCCTTATTTATATAAATAAGCATATGTTTCTTTTATGTTATGGTATAACATTAAGAAGTTTTAAATTTTTTCTCTGTTACCCTTTTTTTGTTTTGTACTTGTATTTATAATTTGTTTACAGATTAAAGAATTCAAAATAATGAAGCATTTTATTGATTTTATTATTACTTTTTAAAACTTTAATTGATGAACTTTTATGTTAAAATTTTTCAAAAAGGCATTTCAATTTGCGATTTGTGTTCGGTATGTTACTTTTTAGTGTTTAAATACAGGTGAACAGATTGTAAATATCACATAACAAGTAATAATTTACATAAATCATTTCGGAAATGATTCATCGTGTGCACTTTAACATTTACTTTTGACACCTTTGCGTCTGATTATTTTTAAGCTGTCAGCTGTGCACTTTGACATAAACTCTAGACTCAATTTTCACATCTTAAAAGTAAAACTGCACGTTATCTTAGCTTGTTAGTGCATAATTTATTATCCCTGATGGGGGTGTTAGTGTATATAAACCCTTTTGCCAAATTCAACAATATTGTAAATAAATGAAAACAATAATTAAAAAGTTATTTTTACGTTTTAGAATTCATTTTTGCTAAACAAATACTATTGAATTTTTCCACACCGAACTATACAGATAAAATTAATAGTAAACATTGGAAGTACATAATATTAAAATTTATATCTGTTATTTGACTTTCGAGTCCATTTTCTAAACTACCGTCGGACAGGAAGTGAATTTTCCTAGGAAAAAAACACTGTTGGTAGAAATAAGGTCTTTTGCTGGGACTCGAGCCTATCAAGGGTCATGTGGGGTCATTTTTAATTGTGTTCGATTTGAGTATTTTTTGTTGCTGCGTAATACCCGGTAGAAAAATCAGGGCAGTTAAGTTATTGACATGTCTTATGTCAACAAGATTAAATGGCCCCATGTATAGGAACATTAGGTATAAAACACGTCAGCTACTATATAAGTTATATTCTCTTTCTCAAGGTTACAAATCGAACGTGTGCCAAAAACTTCTACCTGAGCTCTCACGCTGCTTGCATTGGTTTAATCTTACCTGATCCAGAACAAATGAAATCTGTTGTGCCCAGGTGAAGTCACGAAAAAGAAGACATGGACATAATAATGCAAGGATTCAAGGATTCATAATGATCAAAAGAATATGGCATACATGTTCGATCTATTAAATAATTTATCATTGCATAATATCACTATGATCACTAAGAAAGAGTTCTTTGTTCCGTATTTCACTTTATGACACCTACCAAAGTTGTGAAAAACTTAAAGGGAGAAAAAAGATAGAAATAACAGCCAAGGACAAAGACTATTGCAAAATAATAGAATATGGTAGCTCACCAAATTTTCGGAACTCCTTATTTTTGCCAGATATCTAATTATTAGTTTTTAAATTCGAGACAAAATTTTATGAATTCGAATTGTAGCTGTATGTATTCAAAGCTAATAAAAATATAATTTTACATTGGCGAGCAAACTCTCTTGTTGATTTGCTAGAAAATCAAATTCACGAGATAAACATTTAATTTACAGTATGGAATCTTTTTATGACTGATATTTCTCTCTAAATATCTGTGTTCTGTATACAGGAAAACGTACATAACTAGATGCATCTTAATCAACTCATTACAGCATCCACTGTCAATTTAATTCTGTATATCATTGGTGCAAGTAATAGAAAGATAAGATGGAACTATCCCAGAAGAGGAATGGACCACCATTTTATTGTCGGTATCCACCGGCATCGCATGAAAATTCTTTTATAGTTAAAGATAAAAACTCTTACAAGTTTTATTGTGAAAAAAGATGATGAACTCTTTTGTTCACTGCACTTGTACATATACGTATATTATCAACGTATATGCACTGGTGGCGTTAAGTGTTTTTCCAATCTTTATATTATAGAGAAAATAAAGAATGTCTGTCTGTCTGTCTCGTTAAAACATTATAATAATTTTGTTATCACTGTTATGAAACCACAATTTGCAATACAAACGAATACATTAAACTCATGAACCTACCGACAAATGTTTGCATACAAGGTATCGTTCATTTGTTGACACTTAATCAATATTTAATCTGTTAGATAGTGAAGTACAAACTGCAGCAATATCGCTTTAAACAAAAAGTTTATCTAGAAGTAAAATTATATCAAATGAAGTACTTGATTTTAAATAAAAATTGTGTTGTTTTGTAAATTACATCGGTTTGTAACTGGAGATTTTCGAACAATGTATCTGTTATTAGAATATTAAGTATAACATATCCTAGTTTTATGGCTTATATACATATTACCTAGTAGGAGATGAATAAATTATTCATGTTTTAAAACACAAAGTTTTAAAACGAAAGTAAACAAATGTGAAAAACCATAACAGCAGAAAACACGTGGTTTTGTGTTGTGTATCCAATAAACCAATCACGTTAAAGCTCTCAGGGCGCTTGAAATACATGCTCATGTCTTGAAAACGGAAACTGTACATTGTTCAGGTAGGTCGACCAATAGCTCGTATGTTAATGAGTACTATACTTAACTTTTGCAGCCTTAAAAGGAAGATTTTGTTATTACCAGCTAAAGCGGAAATTTCATTCTAACGTCAAAATTAGTTTCATTAGGGGGAAATGCATCGAGAAGTGTTACATATAGTTGGGTACTATATTTAGATGAGATGGTATATTTTGAATTATTTCATGACATGGCGTATTTCACGGAATCATGTTAAGGTTAGAAGTCGATGCAGAGAGGGGGATACAGGGGTCCTCCTCAACAACTCAGCTATTTCCAAAACGCATGCATCGCAATTCTAGTTGTGTAACCGAGGCCTCTTTTATACAGAACGAATTTCTGGCAAAGGACTTATACAGATCGAATATAAAACTAAGAATATATTTTTATGTACTGGTGGTTGCGAATATTTTCTTAATGGTGGCGATTAGTGTTCTTGCATACATCTCTTTCTCGCGTAATTTGAACCAACATGATATGAATAAGAACAATTCCCGTCTGATGGAAGTTAAAGAAAACATACCCACAGGTGAAAAGACAGAGCGATTGTTTAGGACCAAAATCTCTAAAGAATTACCGGAAGGTGTGAACTGTGCATCTCTAAGATATAAACTTAACGCCACGGACGTGGACCCTGATGGTAGATGTTCTTTTGAGGATTTGATTGATGCTGTAATCAAGGTAAATTAGTTGATCGTATCTCTGCATGATTTACCATTTATATTTGGTTAATAGACAATAGGTAATGTTTTACTTAACTTCTGTCAATTCCTCTTTTCCAGTTTGTGAAACCCACAGAATATAGAGGTATTTATTGATTTTGTTTTGTTTTACAGATTGTATTTAAAACTCACAAATAAAATTTCATTGGCTTCAAACTTTAATGCATTACTCTATGATTTTTCAGATGTTATACATTTAATTGGTGGTATACCTGAGGAGGACAGGAATGGTAAATATACACAGTTAAATACATTTAGCATTTTTTTTCACAGTGCTTCACACATTGCATTATTGCATCATTACTTTAAAGTTATTTGAAAAATAGCTTTAAAGCTATTATGAAAATTAAGATAAATCAATGATATATGATCCCACCAACATAACATTTGACTTGACGACAGATTATATTTGCAAACAAGGTCATTAATTTCATCGTTTCGATCATAGAATATTCAAAATGTTGTCTTCATGGTTGAAAACTTTGTAGCTTCAGCTTATTTTTCAATAGCCTGTGTCGATTTTGGACATTGTTCCTAAGTAGATCATGCACTTACATATGGAATAAATTGGAAGATAAAATCCACAAAGTGGAAGTCATCACGTTCAAATAAAGTTCAGTTGTCATTAATATCTTTCACTATTAAAAATCCCAATCTGAAAAGAAAGAAGTTAAAATCTATGGTGTCTTTCAATTGGAATTCAATGGTTATATTTATATAATAGTGTTGCATTATGCATGTACTATTCCTAAATAGTAGGCAGGGTTTGTAACAAGGTGCACGAGCCGGAGGCGAGTGCACTATGTGTCAAACCCTGCCTACTATTTAGGCATAGTACATGCATAATGCATAATGCAACACTATTGTTATTATTATGCTGACTGTTGTAATTATTTATGCGGCAATCCATTTGACTTTTTCCTGAAAATATCGGTGCTAACACAGCGCACTTGCAAGAACTCATTGAAAATCTTCATGCTAAAATTGGTTGCATGCTTAGTTATTTTAGTTACTTGGTATTTTCTCTAAATAAGTCGGAATTTTCTGTCCCAAACCAACTTATCTTTATTTTCTGTTTTGTTATTATATTGTTGTTTGTTTGCAGACGTCGATTCTCATTGATAATTTTCTTTTACATCCTTCAATCAAGCGTCATATAAAAAAGCGTTTTAATGACCCTATGAAATCAGTTCATCTAACGATCTGTATGTAATTAGTTTGAAACTTTGTTGTATACATTAATCTAAGGTCCCTTAAAATAATATAACTGTTTTCAAATAATATTTGTCTACTTTTTCCTTCTTGTGTCAATTGTATAAATTGAGGTTATATATTTAATAAAATTAAAGGAATTAGTGATCGTCTCTGTGGCGTAATCGATAAGGCATCGGACTGACAATCTCATGGTTGTGAGTTCGATCCCCTGCGTGTGCATTGTTGAATTTTATCGTGCACTATTTCGGCATAGTATGTTTACGCTATATAAATCCTTAGACCACTATGCGAGAATAGTAGGGTATGGGTTATATAGAGACAAACTGACAGGAAGCATAATAATATATCATCATGGGAAAGAAAATATTTATTGTTAATTGATTATACGTCGGCGATATATCAGTATATATTGAAGTGAATGACAGAACAAAAGTTAGTCTTCTTTTTATATAGCAGGTTTTGAATACAAAAGCAGATTTGTAAATATCAATAATTGCTACGGGGAATTCCAATATATTCAGTGGACGAGGTCTCTGAAATCTACCATTAGATACATAGTATTAGATACTGTCTATTAGTATTTATTTCTCCATCACTGCTTGTTAATATTTCATGAGGAGTAAAGAAGTCCTGTTGAACTATTACATGTACTAGAATCTTAAATATCTTTACTTTGAAAGGTGTTTTATGACGGTTATGATTCATTATAGGTATGGCATTTCAATTTCATATTGATTTTTGGAAATATCAAAAATATTGAAAATAACATATGATTTGGAGAATTTTTCCTTAGAAAGGGAAGGATTGCCTGTGGTAGATTTAAATCCAAGTTTCTCTGAAATGAATAATTGTAAGAAATGTTTTATAAATTAGGACTATGTTATTTCCACTTTTGTAGTCTAGGTTTTCCGAGAAAAGTAGTCACTTTGACACACAGAGATGAATCATAACTGGAAACGGGATGTTATATTGGACTCTGTCAAGTTCTATTTTTTGTGAGGTACTATTTTAATCATTATTTTCAACGTTAGTTGACGTCGTCTTATTCTAATTACAGAACATTTAGAATATACAGTCGCAGAATGGACCCGGGACAAAAACACAGGTTCCTCAGTTGTGTACCACGTGACAAATTCGTCCATCGTCATTCCTTCTGATGGTTACTATTTCTTATACTGTCGATTGACCTTTTCATCTGACGTCACAAGAACGGGGTCACGACAAACAGCCATTAAGCATTCAGTCAGAATCCGACCAACCAATCAAAGTTTTCAGAAATTTGTGACAGTGACCTCCATGACCAGCTCAGGCATGAAGACTCACAGCTTAATACAGAGGGTCGCAAAATTTCGAAAAGGCGAAGAGTTAAAAGTCACAGTGTCTAGAGCTGGAAAAGTTCAATATGACATAAGTGATACCACCGAGAATTATTTTGGCATGTTCAAACTATGATTTCTTTGTACTTTGGGTGTTGTTATTATTCATTGTTGACGGGTTTTTTTTATTATTTTTCAGTTACGTATTTAAGATTATTTTACTTACTTGTGAGATTTCTTTCTATGCTACCTCGAATAATAAAACTGTTTACAACAGTGTTTTGTATGAATATTCATATACAAGGGCATGCATTCAAACTTTTGCAAAATTGATGCAACATCAATGTGGCTAATTGAAGAAAAAGCAAATATAACTTTGTAAACTCTATTTTATTGTTTCATTTGCAGCTTTTTCGGTTAAAAATTTATATTTCTTAAATTTAGTCATATATCAGAATTTTGTATATGGTATATTTAAATCTGAGGAGAATAAAAACATCTTGCTAAAGTAAAACAACTTTATCATCAATCAACATAATTATCAGCAAAGGTATCCGTAGAATACAGATTTAAGAAAAAAAGAACTAGTGAGTTGTTCCATACTACATTTCGTACTGAATGAGTGAGCTCTACTACTAATTTTCATTTAGACCCAAAGTTAAACAAGCAAATTTAAAGAATTGTGGTCCCCCGCTTTCGGTGTCTTTGTGGGTGAGATGTCAAATATGAACGCCATATTATATGTCATTTAGAAATTATCACCAAAGTTGATTCTTTTAAAAAAAAAATAAGGTCAATCGTGAAGGTCAAGGCATATGAAAGCCCTATCTCTTCTCAATCAAAAGTTATAAGGAACAAAATGCGTTTGTGAAACACTGATGACCCCGTATGGCAACAAAGCGAAGATTAAACTTTTCCTAAATGCAAATTAAATATACCGGTACCCAAATTTTAAAAAGTAGGTCAAACTCCAAGGTCAAGGTAAAAGGGTCAAAGTTCTTGGTATCCAATGAAAGGTCTTCTCACAAGGATTACTTATGTAAAATATGAAAGTCCTAGCCCTTACCATTCAAAAGTTATTGCCAAAGTTTAAGTTTTTAAAAAGTTAGACAAACCCAAAGGTCAAGGTCAAAGGGTGTAAGTGCTTGATATCCAATGAAAGGACTTGTCACAAGGATTTAATATTTGAAGTATGAAAGCCCTTGCCCTAGCCGTTCAAAAATCTAGCCAAGGTCAAAGTTTTTAAAAAATGGGCCAAACTCCAAGGTCAAGGTCAGAAGGTCAAAGTTCTTGTTATCCCATAAAAAAGACTTCTTACAAGGATTACATATGTGAAGTTTGAAGGCCCTAGCTCTTACCGTTTAAAAGTAAAGGTTAGTACGTAAATCTCCAAAATTGTTGATATCCAATGAAAGGTCTTGCCACAAAGAATGCATATGTGAAATATAAAAGCCTTAGAATATACCGTTCAAAAGTTATGGCCAAAGTCAAGATTTAAAATTTTTGTGTAAAAATGGGTCAAACTCCAAGGTCAAGGTCAAAGGGTCAAATTTGGTGGTACCCAAAGAAAGGTTTTGTCACAAGGAATACACATATGAAATATGAAAGTCATAGCTCCACTAAATCAAAAGTTATGGGTAAGGTTAAAGTTTTTGTGACAGACGGACAGACAGACGGCTAATGAGATTTAATGTCCTCTCGCTTTCGCGAAAGCGGGGAACAATGAAAACAAATTTAATCTTTCACGTTACACCAATGAATTTATTCGTTATAATTGCGAATTCCCGATGCTTCAAAACCAATAGTACTGGAATTTGAAAACAAAAGTCATTGTACCTATTCGCAATTTTTTAAAAAATCACCTTTAGGTATAAAAAGAATGTAGAAAAAAAATTTCATTGGTTTTTTAAAAATATCTTGTACAGAAAAGAAAATTCCTAAAAACGGAAACGAAAGTAGAGCTTTTCTATTCTCATTATGCTTATAAAATGTTGAAATAATCAATTTCTTTGTAACTTTTTGGCCATTTGGATAAACAGATAGGTACATGTATGGTGTAAGTAGGTTTTTCAAGCAAATTTTCAAGAAAACTTATTCTCGATGATTTCAGTAGGAGCTTCTTCTCTTTATTTAAGAGAACAAATAATAATTAAAGTACCCTTCATGAATCGAAAAATGACATTCAAATCGTAAAACCAGTATAATATTTATATACTCGTTTGTAGATATGACAATAATGAATACACAAATTCAAGTACATGTTATTATCTTAAATATACAAAAAAATACAATTGTATCTAAAGAACTTGCCTATTCTTCATCGAAAAGATACCAGTATAGCAATAAAGGATTGAATCAAAAGTTCCTTTTTTTTAAATTTTATTATGTTCGTCTAACGCCATGATATACGAGGGCCGTTCAAAAATTACGCGGACTTGTTGCATAGAAAAAATATTTGACGACATAATCGGGCAAAATTTCACACATAATATAAAAGAATCTTTACTTATATGGTCTTCAAAATTTCATATCAAAATGTTGTAAATTTGTATCAATTTTGAGTGATTTTTCAGGACATATCATTAAGTCACGGAGCAGCAAAATCTTCGACGTCACAGGCATTATAAAAAATATGTGATTGAGCTTTCATTTTCTCAACATTTTCCAAAGAGTACCTGTACAGTTTGAGTTACCTTATCTACTCAACATCCAAACACCATTTCTTGTCAAGCTTAAAATCTATTAAACAAGTAAAGAATATTCTTTTTTTTCTTTGTTTTAAAACCAAAAACTGCAGGTATTTATGAGATATAGCGTGACATTGGTCACGCTCAATCACGTTCTTCACAGCCCGGATAAAGTTTTCGTCGATAATCTACTTCCTGTCCTCCAGTATAGCCTTTTTACAGAGGTCTAACGGTCTAAAATTTCAATTAGCTATTTGTGGACGAATGTCACGAATACCCTAGTTTACTACATGTTTTATTATGCATATTTTGGATCTATGTTGGCGATATCTCGAGTATTACACATAATTTAACAAAAGTATGGTGCGCCGTCAATTCAGGAGACGTCATTTTCACAGTCGTTTTCACGGGAATCGCATCAGAGAAAAATCACTATATTTCTGTTAGTATTTCAAATATCATGTCAGAAATCTAAATACATAATAACAGAACAATTTAAAGATACATTTGAGAAAATTGTCGAAAAATATCGCCAATTATTGAAAATTAATGAGTTACATTTTGGATTCCGCATGCATTTGCTTCAAATTTTTTCTCGTGCTCCGTACCTCTCCATCAGCGATATCAACATACCGATAATTTTAGTAGAATTTTTCTAAAATACAGAAATTTTGCCCAAAATTTATTGAAATCTTTAAGATACATATTTCTCTGAAATTTCATAACTATATGACGTCTATAAAAGTAAATAATAACACAGTCCGCGTAATTTTTGAACTACCGGGTATTTTTTGAAATGTCATATTTTCCTGGCAAACAGTTAAAAATATTACCAAGTGCTATTTATGCATACCACAAAAAAAACAACATTGTTTAAGGCGGCAATAAAAGCACATGCTATTTTACTTATTTTGTTAAGTTAGGATACAGGAAAATCGAGGGTGTATACAAAAGAAATAAGCTATTACGCAAAAAACTGTTTACAATTCCTAAGTGTAGATGCTCTAAAACAATTAAAGATGAAAAATGATTTTTAAAAGATATGTTTGTCCAAAGACGCTGGTGAAACTAAAAACTCGTTCTATAAAACACGATGCCGTTTCCAAGAGAGTACATGAAAAAATGATTGATATGATCCTTGGCTAAATGTTTATATCAAACATGGCATCAAAAGAAAACGACTAATGCTGTATAGGAAGAACCCCCAATGAGGGAAGTATTATTTCGTACCTAAGGTATGGGATTGGGAGACAACAAACAGAATTCATCCTCAAAGTCCATTTAAACAATACAAATCAGGATCAGATCCATGGAAGAGTAAGCATCCCCTGCCGACTCTCCACATCCACCGTGTGCTCCTTGTTATAAAAGAAAACGGAAAGATGCGTTGACAATTCAGTGTATAAATCATGGCTCGACATTAAGTATGAAAACCATTAGTCAGCATTTCATTTAACTAGTAAGTTGAGTACGTTGAAAAAAATCAATGTATTGACAATATATATGTAAATATTGCATGTAGTTGAGTGTAACATTGAAAATTTTCACCCCAAAAAAACCATTGTCAACCGAGGCGCAGCCGAGGTTGACAATGGTTTTCGAGGGGTGAAAATTTTCAATGTTACACTCAACTACATGCAATATTTATTATATTATACTGAATGTTTTATACAAATACGTATCACAGTGAACCGTGCGCGCATAAATTCCGCGCAGTCACTATTTTTTGGAATACCACCCGTCGTCAAGCAATGTTGACTGTTGCTCCGCAGGAGGGCGTGGCTTCATTATTCAGCGGGTAGTAGTGTTTTTTATCAAATGTTTCTCGACGAATCAGATTCAAGTAATTTACATGAAAGTATAATATTAAAACTTGCGAAATGAAGACTTTGAACAAGATTGTTGTTATCATTGTATGACTTTATTGTCAATACCTTGCTTCATTTTAGTATAATTGTTCAAACGTTGAGTATGCTCTTACGTACCAAATCAACTTTGAGACATAAAACCCATATGCAGGTGATCAGGGTACACGTTTACTACTACATGGGTAAGGGAAGAAAAGTAAGTAAGTGAAAAGTTGAAGTCATCAAGTTGGATAAAGCATGGTTGTTAGAGTTACCATTAACGTCTTTTTCTACTGAAATATCCATATGTGAAACAGATTCGTAAAGCTAGCCCTGTGGTACCTTTTATTTTAACCTCACTGGGATATATCGAGTCGATAACTACCGTATAAGTAGAGATCGCTAAAAATAATATACAAGTTTTTAAGCAGAAATCGCTAAATTTGCGCCTCGCTAAAATTTCCACTTATACGGTATTGTAATGTTAATGTTGATAATGCGTCGTCGGTATATCGAAATATCGAGTTGAATGCCACAACGAGCGTTTTCTTCTTTACATACTTTATAACGTAGAAGCTTTTGGATAAATTTGCTTCATTTATATAAATGACTTAATTTTGCAGTAATTTTATCATTAATTGTGATGAGCAAGTGCGATACTAGGATTGCGGTGTTCTGGTTGCATGTTTAATGCTGTTCTTTTATTACACAAGCACAGGGGGAAAATAGGAGATTGTTATAACAAGCGCCAGTATTACAAACTCGAGATGTGGGGTGGACTTGTAGATGTTTGAAAGGACTAGATTTATCAGCAGGAAATATTTTCCGAGTTTTTTCTCTTTTCATAGAAAACCTATGCTCGTTATCTTCCCGATTTTAGGCAGTTTCATTTACATTTTAATTCTTATATATTTTTAAAGATTTATTAGAATCAATCAAATCTGGTGTAATTACTACTATGTATTCGTTTAGTCTTCGAAAGGACTGTACATGAACATGTTGAACAACACATTACTGCATGATTTCGGTCATCATGATCAGCGAACATAAATTGGCAGTATCTTCCTTTTTAAAATTTACATAAAATTTACATAAAACATTAAATAAATGTCACAAAATCAAGACATCGTCTAATAAAAGCGACAAAAAATTTTAAAAGAAAGAAATAATTTTATTCTTCAATATATGGTAAACTACAGCTATCATCTGTGTAATTCCCTCGATAAAAAGATGACATGCTCTCTTGTACCTGTTTTTAGTTTATATAATCATTAAGTGTATTCAAATGACGACCTCAAAAGCTATGGAAATCCTAATCTCTCGTTACTTTGTCGTATTACTAGGTCGGCTTTACAAGTACCATCAATGACCTACATTGATTACTGTGTATTGTATTCTATCTATATTAAAACAAATATTCATCATGGGTTGTACACATCTACGTACATGTACTTTTGTTTATTTTGATTTCCCTTTTGTTCTCTAGCCGTCATTTCGGGGAAAGATTATTTAATTTTTCTATTTTGTATTATCACAGCAGTGATAATGTTATTCAGTGGGACCATGTTAAAATATGCATATATCACCATGCAGGGAGATAAAAAAAAAAAGAAAAGATAAGATATTTGAATATAAACTGTACAAACATACAAAATGGCGTCTTAAGAACTCGCTCGATCACATCACTTAATTCTTAGGCAGACTAAAATAAATCACGGTGCACTTGAGAATCCTTGACCTATTATTCCCATTTCAAAGTTTATACTTTTAGAAAAAACATAAACAGTCTTCTTCGAATAAGAAACGAAACAACAAGCTCATCTTTGCAGTATATAACTTCGTTGTATTTTTTATCTTTCAGGTAAGGTATGAAATGTATATCTTTGCGAAAGTATCAATCTTGTATACATAATGTTCAAAATTATTTTTGGTAAACGATGCAAAAAAAGCAGACGATCATGGCGTCATTATCAGTTGAAATGTTGCCATTTTAAAATCGCGGCAGATAAGGTTTTCACCTGCAGGTTAATATCAGTGATAATTTGATAGAAATGTTAATTAGTCTGTGATCTCGGCTACGGAGTGTTGCCAGTGATATTTTGTATAGTTAAAATTATCATTCTCTCCGTCAAGCTGTAGTGGATATCGTGAAAAGAAAGTGCAGACTTGGGATTTTTGAGAGACTAGGAAGCTATACTATTTGTATAATTACACTAATCAGAACTCTCCTTTTATTAAAGGTGATTCAACATTTTCATGGACGAGGGATTCTTTTACCGGAACACTATATCCGATCTAAGGTCTTTACTGCGGTCAGAGGTTGCCAAGAGGGTTTTACACACACGTCACTGAGTTATTTAAATCTTCAATGAGACGAGACTTACTCTAGAATAACCACAAATTACACTACCGCAATAGAAAGGAAATATTGTGTCATCTCGCACTTAACATGAATCCGCCACAAACAGAGGGTGAACCAAAGAGAAAGAGACTGGAGTTTTCGATCTCTAGCGACGGGTCGGGGGACACGGAATACAGCCAGGGGTACTATAGCGAGGAGGCGCGGGACAGTCTGGCGGATCTTATCCCTAAAATGAACAGAACACCGAGCTGTGTGTCAGCCTTAACGCAATGTGGCAACCAACAGAAACTAGATGATCTCTACAAGTCCTACACAAAACTGAAGATTTATTTCTGCGTGTTGTGTGTTGTCAACATCATCATCATCCTTCTCGTGTGTATCTTCTTCGCGGTCTTTTTCATGCGTTTCTCAAATGACAGTAAAGACCTGAACAATGTGTTCTCAAATCCTCAAAGAGAAGAAAATGATTTAAAACCCTCTAAGGCAGAAGCTCGCTTCCAACTAGAAAAGCTCCCACAGAAAGTTCCAGAAACCAAAATCCGGTGTTCTGTCCTCAAGCACAAACTAAATGCTACAAATTATGACAGCAATGATATGTGTTCTCTGGAACAAATGGTCGATTCGATTGCCAAATTTCTGAAGCCAAGAGAGTACAACGGTAATATATGATTAAAAAATAATTTTGATAAAAAAGTTTTATAAACGATTGCTCTTCGTATAATTTTGATGTATACAGAATATACAAACCTGGCTCTTTCTATGCTATATAATGTTTTATTTTTTTTTTTTTAATTTTAGATGTATTACATTTGACAGAAGGCACGCCTCAAAAAGGTGGGAAACTCTAATATGTTTTACTTATTTCTGTAGATTCTGGTTTAATTGTATAAAATAAAACCTTTAGTTATGTGCATTTCCATGTACAAAGCCTGATTCAATGAAAAGTCATTTTAATTGATTTATTTATAATTTAGATGGGTCGGATTGCTTCCTGAAGCAATGGAAAAAAGATAAAGACAGCTCTTCTCCCATTTCATCTGGCCTGAGTTTTAACAGTGAAAGAGGAACCATTATTATCCCTTCCAGTGGATATTACTATGTATACAGTCGTATTACATTCAAATACAACTCTCAGCTCGACGAAGAAAAAAGGAGACTTTTGCAGTTAAAGGACATCAAGCATACCATAGAAAAAAGTCGAAACATGTCAAGCCAATACAAATCTGTACAATCGACGTCAATCCAATGCACCAAATCATCCTTTGTTCACAGTAGTTTTCTTCAGAGAGTGGTGTATTTGGAGAAAGGTGATGAACTCCGAGTGAAAATATCCGACACGGGAAAAATTCAATACGACGAGAAATACAAGCACGAAAATTATTTTGGAGTCTTCAAGTTATGACTGCAGAGGCAGATGAAGAAGCTGTGAACTTCCTGGAGTCCTTGTTGTCTAAATATGGAACACTTTCTATTCAGAGAGAAACAAACAGATCTGTTTGCAGTCCGAGGAAAGCAAGTCGAGTATGAAAGAACAAATTATTGTTCTTCGGCATGGCATTTCAGGGGTGTAAAGAGGGTGTTGCAGTTCTTTTGTTATTTTCCCTAAATGTGTAGCAGGTTAAAAGAAGAATTTTTATGTTGTAGAAACTCATATTAATTTTTTTCAAATGCAACAATATATAAAGCACAACGAGAAACAATATTTGGAACGTGTATATTGACTTCCAATTTGCCATTAAATGATGTGAAAATTAGTCTTACGCCAAAATGGCAAAATAATTTTGATATATACACAAAGAGACAAACTAGTAAAAGTATTTACATAAATATTTCAGGAATCTTTGTTTAAAATGGGAATATTATGCTTATCCATTTGTATCGATTTTCCCTTTTTTAAATTTACGTGCATTGAACAATATCTGTGATAAAACACTTCATGTCATTTTTGTGACAAACTCTATGTGCCAAAACTGATCATAAAATGGTCGTTTAAAACGAGACAATACGCTGCAAGAGACTGAAACGTGCCAGTATTAAATTTACATAAGATATATGTACGAACTTTCAAAATTAAACCCCAGTCTCTTGAGCGGACAATGAAGCTGTATATATATAAGCTTTGCAATATGTTTTATACACAACCTAATATTTTTATTGCATTAATCGAAGTATGTAAATCAAAGGTAAAAATATCATCTCTTCTACATGTGAATATTCACTATGTACAGCATCCATATACATGTAACCCGTCCTGTGCATTGTGATGTTTATTCATCATATACGTTGAATTGGCTCGTGATATAGTAATGGGTATTTACTGTTATAAAATACTTGAACTAACTTTCATAAAGCTTTCACATGCTTGTTAGAATCATGTATATGAAGTGTATATATACAACAGGCAATGGTAAACAAAACCACAATATTTTGTTAATATGAGAAACTCGTGAACATGTCACCATAATAGCAAACCTTATCAAAACTAACACAGTATCTTTTACTAGTCACTGTAGACTCGGAATGCACAAAGAGTAATTAAAATGCTCAATTCATCTGTTATATTCATTAATTGATCTCAGTTGTACAATGTGTGTCAGATACAAAATGGCTTCATTATTTCATCGCTATGTAGATGTATATCTTTTTAAAAATATGTTCTACTGTGTGTATAATTAAATTCATGTTCATTGAACTAAAATAATGTACCGGTAATTTGTTATACGAAATATATAGATAAAATGATTACAAATCTCCTTCTTGTCTTTTAATTTAAGACTCAGCAAAGGAGAGCACAATATTTTTATGAAAGAAGAAGTGGCTTTTATGAAATAAGCACTGATACTGAATGATTTCTGAAAGTAGGATCAGAACTTTCATTTTCATAAGTGTAAACTTATAATAAAGATGTACAGTGTGTCAAGGAAGAGAAATAGGGTGAACAAGGTACATTTTAAGTATGTCAAGCTCTGTGGATTTAAATGCATTATACAAGTACACCTTCGGGTATTTCCCCATGGGTTTTATGGCTCAAGCATCGATTTACAAGATAACCGTTTTAAAAGAATTAATTGACTTCATCATTCATAGCTCTAAAAAAAATTAAAATATAAGAAAGGCGAGACTCTCGGGAAAAAAATAATTAACTTTAGCAACACTTTTTTTCTAAAGTCGGACGTCGATTGATTGATAGTTTTAAATAATTAACTAAACTATATCCTAAAACTATCAGAAAAATGTCTTTTTGCCTTTTCAAGCCAAATATTGGCGGCAATAAATGTTTTATGAAAAGGAAATAACTACTTAAAAGCATTTTTCTTCAAGAATAAAATTAAAAATGGAATCACAATGTGTAAAATATCAGGAGGGTCGTCTTCCAATAATAAGACTGTGGTTAAGTATTTCGACAATTGGTGACCCATAGATCTACATGTATATACATTGAAACAAGACCAATACAATATTTTCACAGCTTTTTTTAAAACTGACTAAAAAAGTAATTGTTTGGGACTTTCACCGTACAGTAGTTCAGTTATTTAGGGGACTTCACGGACATTTTGATGTACATGTACATAGAAAGACTTTAAGGATTGGAAATTTCAATTTCAAAGAAGGAAAAAATACGATCAGGGTGGACAAAAAATATGATAAGGAAAATGATTATTATAAAAGTAGGAAGTGTAGGTGGTGTGTAACTTTCACGAGAGACACTTTTTGAAAAACTAGCTTAACGTGACAAATCACTGCGATATTTGGACTAAAAATATCTTTTTTTTCTTCTGTTCTCATAAAAGCAATTATTATTTTTCTGTATTTTTCCACCTATCTGATTGGCTCAAACTGGATCACATGATCAAGTATAAAAAGTGCTACAGACTCGATGTTTCTATTTTAAAAATTTATAAACCTGCTGTTTCTAAATTTGGAACGTTCTTCTATGAAGCAACAATAGTGCTGACGTCACAATAGTCTTTATAGACTGGATGTTTCTAAAAACAGATACTGCAGCTGGTTTTCATTACTGTGACGTCATAATGCAATGACATAACAATGCTTTGTATGAGAAGGTACTGAGTATTAGAAAGAAGGATTTTAAGGCATTTCTTATTAACTAATAAAAATAATAAAACAATTGTAGCCTTTTGATTCCAAAGAAGGAAAAAATACAATCCCTCGATATATAGACCTTAGAGAAAAGCATATCGACCTCGCACTTCGTACGTGCTCGGTCGATATGATTTCTCTAAGGTCTATATATCAAGGGATTGACCTCATCAAAAGGCTATAATTGTATATTATTGCATTTGCTTGTATGCAATCTACATTTGAAGAAAAGTAAATACAGACGTTTTAAAAAAAAGTTTAAGATTTTTTTTTCTATCCATTAAATTCACCTTTTATTTTTTGTAATCTCTAATGTCAACCAATGCTGTTAACACAATTCGTCACTGAACAATCAATGACCATGCAGTTAAATCATTCCTTAAGAGCTGCCTTTAATTTTAATCTTTAAAGTTCAAACCTTTTATGACTAATAAATCAAATGCATGTATACCTACAATGTAAAAATGTAGGAAAAACTAAGGGTGGCCAAAGTTCCGGGACATTTAAACATCGATTTGTATTTTAATACCTGCTCTAGAATCAATAAAACATGCTCAGGGAAATGCACTCTTATCTATGAAATTTTAGAGAAAGATGTTAAAAATGTTTATTTTGTCTTCTTTCATACAATAAACTTTTTGAAATCTTGTGCTTGCATTTTATGCATTTTATATATTACACTATTAAAATGTTTATTACATTGCTATGTTTAAATAATCACCGATGTACATGGCGAGTTATTGGAAATACTGCAAATGGTATATTGAGGGCAAATTTTCTTGTTAAGATTGCAAACATGTGTGATATATAGAACAGAAAAGTTCACCTGAAGTTTTATTTTCTCTACATTCCTTCCTTCCCAGGCCAAAGAGACTTTTATAAGTTTCGGATGATGTTTTGATGTTTAACGTGACGTACATATATACCTAATAAATAAAACTGATTTAAGTCAATATATAGTCTAGATGTTGCTGTTCACGTGTATATATCTGACCAGTAAACATTAAAGGTCTATAAACTTTTCTTTTACTACTCAAGTGTGAAAGTACAAATATTCCGTAGTTCAAGGTAAGTAGAATAGTTACTGACCGACACAGTGACTCCTAGGTTTACAGGTATATATAATGTAACACACAATATCATGGAAGGTCGAATTATTTCCCTTTGTAATTAAGATATTAATCCTTATGCGTGGAGATAACCTCGGAAATATCATTTGAGAAGAGAAAAAAAGAGCAATTAATACAAAAAAAAAGAACTTAATCGGGATAAAGTAAAAGAATATACAATTATGCATGTTACATGTACTAGTAATAAGTAGCAGAAAGGAAAGAAAGAACATATAGCAATGACACCTGCATAATTTACACATATTTGCATAAACTATTAGAGTCAAGGTGATTTGAATAAAGAATTGGAACTGAATAAAAGGAATGATGAAAATGATAGAATATCACTTTTAGATTCAAACAAGTAATAATAAAATAGGAAAAAAGAAGAAAAAGGGGGACTTCTGATTATATGACATATTAAAAGGTGGAATGACAACAATCAGATATCAGCCTCAACTGTGATGTCATTATTTATTTTTGTCATTATTTCAACAAAAACTCATACCAGGAAGGGAACTTGTGTTTTCAGTGTTTTCATGGAAAAGAAAGAACTTATTCAGAGAAAGGTAAAATGATAGCAGATTACCTTTAATCAAATTGTGAAGATAACAAACACTAATCGAAAATCCAAATAAGGACTTCAGAGAACAACAGGGGAATCAGGTTCGATGAAGAAAAACAATTAAACACCTTTCATCCGATGGAAAGACAATAGAGAAATTGGTTCTATCACAAATTAAGAAACATTTGAAGTCAACAATGTATAAGTTAATTTATAATATATGTACAAGTGTATTGAACAAATGTGTTCATGAGCTTTTTTCATGATGGAACGCGAAAAAAGTTTTTTATCTTTAACTATAAATGAGTTTTCATGTCAACCTACAATCGGAACAAATCTAAGCACATATTTTAAAAACATGTCCACAAAATTCCAGAGATGGGATTAGGTGTCTATAATTAAGCCTCTCCCCTCTGTAGAGGGTCAGACCGGTCATGCAGGTGATAGCAGAATACCGGTATATCTACGGAAATAAGAAATGATGACGGCTGAAAAACGAAACACCTTTCATTTGTCAGTTGTTTGTTAGTTAGCCTTTATTATGTCGCCACAAACGAAGTCGGGGGCGACATATTGCGATTGTATGCATGTTTTTGTTCTCCAGGCTGTTTCTCGGAGATGGCGGGGACAATCTTTCTGAAACTTCCCTCAAAAGACGATCACTGCTTGTACTTTTGTTGTGTGGTCATTCAGTTTCAAAATGGGTACCGTTGCCAAGGAAACGTGTGAAAAATAACGATTTATGTCTGGAAGTGTTCTCTCATGTCCTTTGAACATTCATAATGAAACTT